AAAATAAAACACGGTCGAAAAAAAAAATTCTAGTGAAGGAAAAAGAGTACACATATCTAACAACACGCCTTTTGGTTGCCTCGTTAAAAACCTTGCAAGAAAAAATCAGTAGGACAAAACCTTGTAAGGGAAAAAGAATACAATACGTATTAAGTCCCCCTGATGAGAGCATCAATTCACATCCTTGAGCTTTCGCATCTCAATCTTGTACACTAGCTTCGTGAAGGTTGACATCGATAGAGATTTGGTGAATAAATCATCCATATTAACTCAAATGAATATGTTGCACCTTGAAATAATCATACTTGATAAATATATAATGTTGTGAAATGGCCTTTTTAATATCTCCATATGTACACAAATTGCACTTAGGATGTAGTACTTCAGGACCAAGAATTGTATATTCTTTAAGCGATTTAAATCCTTCAGGGATCGTCATATAAGCCATATAAATAGACTTTAGATTTACATCAAGTTTTCATATCATGCTAGACATATAAGATAGATAAGGTGATTGCACCCACCATTGACTTTATACTTTTAAGTATTTGAACTACAGGTCGAAAACTACATGTCTTTCATCTCCATACTTAAGATCCTCAAGCGTTATCATAGATTTAATCGACGAACATTTTATATCGGTTCCAACCTACTTTTTTTCATAAAGACATGACATAGAGATCTCTTCATTCATATTTTCAGGTACCTGAATCTCTCTTGAGATTTTATGAAGTATTATGTCATGTGATCTTTTAGATCACTTGCCTCCTTATTATGAATATTTTTCATCTTTGTTATCAAGAATTTTATTTGAAACCGACTTGTCTATATGCTTTAAGTTTACCACGGACTTTGTCCTTCTAGGACTTATTCTAATAGGAGCATTTGCAGTGAGAATATAGTTACTTTTTTGGGTCAGCAAATGCGTCTGGCATGCTTTGCAATATATTGCAGATGAATTATCTTTTTATGAACTTCAAGTTCATATTATCTTATTCGAGGATCTAGATGTACATATGATAATTTTTCCACGTAACTTTTTTTCAACTGTTTATCCTGTTTCCCCCTCATATTACAAAAACTAACTTTCTTCCTCAACTTTGGAAACTAACCTTTGTGCGTTATGGTGTTAATCAAAATATACATTGCACATTAATAATAATATGATGGAATTATTTGGTTCCTGACCCTGAACCACTTGTGAGAGGAGAATGTAATATACTTTCGTATATAACGTATATCAAATTGATATAGATAACTTTGTTCTCATAACAAATAGTTTAGCTATTAAGCGAAAGCACTCAAAAAAATTATTTTGCTAACCCAGCTTTGATATAAAACAATTTATCAAGATGAACTGTCTTGAATAAGAGCACATGTAACTATCTCATAGATGCATCTTATGTGGTATACATGGCTGGTAAATGGACCCATATTCACCTTTGATAATTCCAGCATTTATGGGATTCAATCCCAATTTTAGTTGGTCCATTAATTAATGAGACCAAGCAATATAAGAGAATTCGTAAAGAACTTTCTAGTTCTTTAATATTTACTCATGTGAATTCTCTTTTATTTTTGCACATCATACTTAAATTGATATGGCTAAACTAGTTATGCCAAATGGATAAATTATAATATCAATAAACTTCAGGTTTAACACCGTGACGGGTGCAATTATCAATAAACTCCAAGTTTATTATGATATAGGTTGTTATATCAACAAACTTCTACTTTATTGTTGCATACTTTTATTGGTGTAGTACAAATTAAAAAATAAAGTAGGTAGCTTTTCACATGCATATTTCCCTGCTACAAGTTGTAGTAATAGAAGATATTAAATCTTTCCTTTATTTATAATCTCAATATAACCAACCACTTTCGGGAATATTATAGAAACTCAATAAGTTTCTTTGAGACTTATTATGACACTATACCTTATTAGTAATCAATTGTGTTTCTCCAAAATAGTATAATTAGCTCTTCTAGAGTTCTCAATTAATTTTGTACTACCATATATTCATCAACATCCATGTGGTGAATATCTCTTTCAAGGAGAAAGTTATACCATTATGGTCATGGTCAAAATCATTATAGGCAAGATATGTTGCTTCTATTACTTTTGCCCTGTAATAATCACATTGCCATAATATTATGGCATAATCACACTAGGTACGCGATTAATGATAATTCATGCTATAATACTGACATTGTTTTCTTATTTCCTCTCAAACCTCCTTTTAGAGGTGATTGTGGTATATTCACTACCACTAACACGTTTTTATTCTTTCAAGAATGAATATGTATTCATAGATCACATGTTTTCACATTCACATCATGAATGGACCATAATCATTTATATGTGCTTTACAAAATCTCATGTCAAATCGATGACAAACATTAATTTCATAGAGTGAAGGAATATTTTGAAAATCCTTATTGTTCTCCTTACCATAATGATGACGATTATAATTTCGTCTATTGCCTCGTCCACATCCATTGATACCTTCACGGTAATAATTTTATCTTCTTTCAGACTTATCACATACTGTTACCACATTCTCTTAAGGGAATGAGAATGAAGCAAAGTCAATGGGACGAGTTTCCATTTCTTGTGCTCACAATCATACATGAATTTGATCTTGACAAGATATGGAAATTTTACCACTTCGGGTGGTTGTAATTTTTTACAAACTCTATTAGAGTTATAATCAAAATTTATTGTTTTTGCTTGTATTTAAAATTAAATTATAGAATGTCAAGAATTTTAAAGAGGAAATAAACTGAAATACTTACCTTAAATCTAGAATCTAATTATGAAGGAAGTTATTGGAATAATCGATAATTATTATGCTCAATCCCAAAGCATCTACCCAATTGGTTAGAGTATCGTGTTAATAACGTATTATAAAATAATAAAAGAAGAAGAAGAGTATTACAGAGTTATTGATTTGTGATGAATTATAAAAGAATAGAACCCCTCTATTTATATGTAAAAAGTGGCTTAGCCACCAAGTAAAATCCCTAAAATATCACTAAAATATAGACATTATCTTAAATACAATTCTATTTGTAACAGATGGGATATAATAATTACTAGTGGGTTCAATATTAAATGTGATATTCCATGCCATATGGGAAAGAGTGTCAAATGCAAAAAGCTGACGTAGGTTCAACAAGCAAATGCAAGCCATTTTGTTCATGAATTAATAGGCTACTTTGTTAGCAATATTCAATGAATTATTTGATCTACAAGTCCAAAAAATTTTCTACCTCAAGTTTAGTCATTAAAATATATTGTTACCTCGACAAGCTTTGAAGTAGGGGGTATTTGTAGGCATACAAAATTTATTAAATTCAAATTTAATAAAAAAATTTGGATTATATTATATACTAGTCCAAATAAATTATGGGCTAATATAATCTGATTAATTATTTAAGTCCAATAAATATTTACTGGGTTAGCCCATTTAGTTGGGCTACAAATAATAAGTTCAATTCATTAAGTCCAAAATGTCATCTTCCTAGAGGCCCAATTTGGTGCCACATGTCAAATGACGTGGCACGCCAAGTCAAACAAAGGAGCCAATAGGATCATGCCACATGCCAAAATGACAAGGCATGCCAAGTTACATTAAAAGGCCAATGAAATCGCGCCACGTGTGCAAGTGATATGTTATTGCCAATCAAACGTGGTCTTGTCACACTTCAATTTGATTGGTCGGAAAGAGTTTGTTCTTATCATAACTCTTCCCTCCCACAACTATAAATAGGGGTCTTCATAACCCAGAAAATACACCAGAAGTTATAAACAAGAAGCAAGAAAGAGTCGTGGATCAAGCGCTGCAAATTCCTCCACATGTTTCAAGTTTCAAGTTTCAAGCAATCAAGTTCAAGTTCAAGTTCAAGAAATTAAGTTCAAGCTCAAGAACGAAGAAAATCAAGTCCAATCTCAAGAACGAAGAACAAATCAAGTTCAAGCTCAAGAATGAAGAACAAATCAAGATTCAAGGAGTACAGGTTTGAATCAAAGTTCGTGCTAGTTGAATCCAAAATCATCGTCCGTGGCAACAAATATAGATTCAAGATCAAGCTCAAGGACCCTTGAATTTATTTACTATTAAAAAGAAGAATCAGAGAATCCATAAAGATTGTACACTCATATTATCTGAAATCAAATACTACGGTTTTTACAATATTTTTCGGTCTAGATTTATTTTCTCGACGCAATTTATTGTCTACAAATATTATGACATTATATTTATAAATATTAATTTATTTGATCAAACATTCATTCCATGGTATTATTACAAAACATATATTTTTAGTTTTTTATAATCTATTAAATTAAATATTATTATTTTAAACATATGTATCAATTATGTTTACAATATCTGTGTAAATATATGATTATTAATTAATGTATATTCAAGAAAAAATATGCATCTTAAACACCAAATCTTATATCATTTATATTTTTAAAAAATCATTTATAGGCATATATTTATTATATTAAATTTTAAATTTTGCTAATTACTTCATTTAAAATTTAATCTAAATGTGTAATTATACTTGTACAACGAAACAGTACGCTTGTAATTACACTGTAATTACATTATGACAAACAAACACGTCGTCATAATAACTAGGCTGTGTAATTACTACCCTAACATTTCTGCAAATAACATTTTAAGTTGAAGTCAAAAATGAAACAAACAAGGGTATTATCACTTTTAGTCCGCGCCAGAAACTATACATTTGGTAGCCGAAAAAAGTGTATAAAATTTGTATAATTTTTGTATATGACGTACAGAATGTATATATATATAAAAATATATAAATTTATATATATATTTTCGGCTATATTTTTATAGCGGCTATACATTGTCATTTTTCCAAACAAAAATCATTGCCAAGCGGGCCATACAAGTCACTAGTCTTCGATGAAATGGAATTTGGGCCAGTTTTTAAAATGGGCCCATAGGCCGAAAGGACTGTAGCCCAGGAGGGTAATGACAATCCTTTTATAATGCGCTTCACTCAAAAACCCTAGTCGCCATCGCCGAGCAGCTACAGAAGGAGAGGAGCAGCAGAAGTGATTCAATGGGTATGTTCGTCTAACTCTCTCTTCTGTATTGCACTCCTTGCTAAATTGATTCATGTCGAAAACCTAGCTTAATGCGAATAATCTTTTGTTTTCTTATTTCGTTTGGTTTGGAACAGGTTTATACTTTGAAGCATCTAGTAATCTTAGACAGTTGTTCCTTTTGTTCTAATGATTCTGTTGAACCTCTGAATTTTCACTATAATTTGTTGGACTGAATAAAGCAGATCTAGCATTTGAATCATACACATATATACGTACATATTTACAAACGCATGTGTGTATGCACACAGATATATACACGCGCAATCGGTTATATATATTTTTGATAAAAGAAGTAATTTTATAACAAAAAGAATTCAGGAGATGCATATGTCTAAATGTAATTGGTTTTATATTTTACGGTAAAAGTCGGATAGGTAGAGGTTTTTAATGTAACATTGATGGTTTATGGATATCTGTATTTATGGATATCGGTACTGCTGGAATAGAATGTGATGTTTGATTTTGGTGGAAATATAGGGGCTTACACGTATGTGTCAGAGCTATGGAGGAAGAAGCAGTCAGATGTGATGAGGTTCTTGCAAAGGGTGAGGTGCTGGGAGTACCGACAGCTCCCTTCTATTGTGCGTGTCACTAGGCCTACTCGTCCTGACAAGGCACGCCGCTTGGGCTACAAAGCCAAGCAGGTACATTTCTGCTGTGTCCTAGTCATTTACTTGACAATGTGACTTGATAGTAGATGGCAGATATTTTAACCTTTTGCATATTTTTCCCCATAAAATAGTGAGTTGGATGTCCAATGGGAAGGAAGTTTGGATTTTATGTGACTCTTCTGTTTAATATTTATGGATGATTTAGTCTAGTTATATTCGTCTTAGTGTTGTATCTTTATTTATTGGTAATATGTGATACATACTCCTCTGATTGCCAATTTGCTTGTCAAGGCTGTCTGGCCGTTCTATTGTCCAGTGACAGTAAGTTTGAATTTTTGATACTGGTCTGTTTAATGTATTTTAATCATTATGGGGATTTGACTTAAGTTTATTTATATTTGTCTCACTGTTGTATCTTATTTTAGTTCTTGGTTATGTTAAATACATACTTCTAATGTATTTTAATCATTAGGGGGCTTTGACTTGAGTTATAGTTTTCTTACTGTTGTATGTTATTTTAGTTCTTGGTTATGCTAGATACATACATCTTTGATTGCGTATTTGCTTGTGAAGGCTGTATGACCATGTTGTTGTTCGTCCTTTCTGTGCAGTTCCTAGATACAAAGAACAGAAATCCATATTCTTAATACTCTGTTTCTGTTACTCTTTTGAGGAACAGTATTAATGCAGAAGTCTTTGTTTTTTACCATGTTACTTCACTTTGTCATTTCCCATAGTACCGAATTTCTTCTAAGTTATGATTGGGACCGTTGTCTTTCCAGGGCTATGTGGTCTACCGTGTTCGTGTGAAACGTGGTGGAAGGAAGAGGCCAGTTCCCAAGGGTATTGTGTATGGTAAACCCACCAACCAGGGTGTCACCCAACTGAAGTTCCAGCGTAGCAAGCGATCTGTTGCTGAGGAGCGTGCCGGTAGGAAATTGGCTGGTCTTAAAGTCCTCAATTCTTACTGGATTAATGAGGTTTGTGTTTTCATTGTCACTAATTTTCTTGTACTTCTAGTGCATTTCTTATGTTCTCACATGCTAGAGTGTAAAGTTATTTCATTTCTAATTAAGACGAAAACTTTATTTCTTGATGCACACCAAACTTCTAAACTGGAACAGTTAAATCCTAAAATGGTTTGCAAGGTGATTGGATTTATTAAAATGCAAATATCACTTGTATTTGGTTCTACTTCGAGGAAGAGTTATTTATAGTTTGTTTCTTGTTGCTTGTTAGACTCTTTGTACACCATGCTTTAATAATGGGAATTAACTCTTTATCTTAACCTTCTTGAATGCAGGATTCTACCTACAAGTACTTTGAGGTGATATTGGTTGACGCCGCCCATGCTGCTATTCGCAACGATCCAAGGATCAACTGGATCTGCAACCCAGTGCATAAGCATAGAGAACTTCGCGGTCTCACCTCAGCCGGTAAGAAATACAGGGGACTCCGAGGAAAGGGACATCTTTTCCACAAAAATCGCCCATCAAGAAGGGGAACCTGGAAAAGGAACCAGACTCTGTCTCTCCGACGTTACCGCTGATCTGCTTGACCTTTGTGAGAGATTGTCGCTTGCTTAGTTTTTTGTTCTCATTATCTGGTTTTAGCCCTTTTATCTTGAGACAAGCTCAGCTCACTACATTTTTGAACATCTAAATTTGTATTGAAATAACTATTTTCTTGCGGCGAATGGATTGCGTGCAACTTTTATAAAACAATATATATGCAAGTAAATTAGGACCTAAGGTTACTATCTGATTATATCGGTGCAATATGGAAAAAGGTAGTAGAATGGATCTATAACATACTTCTAAACATTATAATGTTATCTAATTAATCATGGTATTAATACACGTTATCGCGTCATTTTGACACTGGACCAGGTAAATTAGCATTCACAAAAATTGTGGCATTTATTATTTTCACTTACTCGATCCTCCTCCCTTATTGTCCCTCATTTGAGTCTGGGGGATTCTGTATTGCGATATCCTCGGTTGGTGACGGTGAGCCAATTTGTCCAGCAAAAGTATGGATTGTAACGAAAGAAATGTTATGCTTTTTCCTGGTAAATGTTATGCTTTTTCCTGGTAAATGGATTTATGTAGAAGCCAAGTGTATACGGTCAAAATCGTATTTCTTCGATCTATAGGCTCTAGGGGTCGCCTTAAGCCCAAGTCCAGGCAAGGTCGAGTTCGAGCCCGATAGATCAGACTCGAGCTCGAAGACAGGATGCGAGGCTTGAGGATCGGAGTGCGATGAATGCCGAAGTCGAGTACGCTCGACTTCGAAATAATGCCGTTATGGATTCCTAACAGAATGAGCGAGATTCCTGCCACGTCCCCCAGATCATGGTGCAAATCCCGGAATAGAATTGTACGATTCCGTACCAGGCAGTTAGACAGCTGTACCAATAATATTCCTTACTGTAAATAGAAACGTATCTTATTTAGGGCTTCCCTATTATATAAAGGGCACCCCAATCATTTGTAACATTATCTAATCATTGGCAAAGAATATACTATCTTACTTTTTTGGCTCATTGCTCATCAGACTTGTCTTTTCTCTCTACTTTTCTTACTTTATCGTTCTTGGTTCATCTCGAGGTCACTAAGCTCGGTGTCAGAACTGCTTGAGTAGCACTAGTTTGATTCACTTGTTTCTTTCGTCTATACCTCACATTTCTTGATTATTAATTGGTATTGAACTAAATCACATATCTTTAAAACCATAAATCAAATTTAATTGTTACTCGTATTTTCGAGGTAAATAGTTTGGCGCCCACCGTGGGGCTAAAGATAATAGTGATTATTTCTTTACTGATTCTCATTACACACGTTATTTTTACGCTTTTTCTTGTCAAGATTTTCTGATTCTCAGGATTAAACATGTCGAACTCGCAAAATGCACCTGTTCATGACAACGAATGTCTTGGATTTCATGGGGGAAAACAACAATTCAGGGGTTGGTGTACCACCGATAAACGCTGGGGAAGTGCCAAATGTGGAATCCGTTGATGTCAGTTCACACATCGCTCTGGATGCTGATTTAGGCGCAGACCCCAGAGGGAGTGTACGTAGAGAAGCCCGATATGGGGGCCAAGGAACACCAGGTATAGGAGATGGGGCAGTCAACCTCCAAGTGATATTCGAGATGCTGCAAGCTCAGCAGATCGCCATCGCCCAACTTCAGAGTTAGAATAAAACTCCGAGTATAGCTGAACGAGAAAACACTCGACGTGCTGAACCAGCGCCAGAGAGGTCGAACAGAAATGACTCGGGGACTGACCCTACCATTATGAGGATGCTCGAAGAGCTCACTAAGAGGATCGAGTCCGGGGAAAAGAAGATTGAGGACAATGATAAGAAGGTGGAGACTTATAACTCCCGTGTTGACCAGATACCTGGGGCACCTCCAGTTTTGAAGGGTTTAGATGCCAAAAAGTTCATACAAAAACCGTTCTCTCAGAGCGCGGCTCCGATGCCCATTCCTAAGAAGTTTTGCATGCCCGATATACCCAAGTATAACGGGACAGCCGACCCTAACGAGCATATTACTTCACACACTTGCGGGATCAAAGGGAATGACTTCAATGATGATGAGATCGAATCAATATTGTTGAAGAAGTTTGGAGAAACATTGTCAAAGGGAGCTATGATTTGGTATCACAACTTGCCACCTAACTCTATTGATTCGTTTGCTATGTTAGCAGATGCCTTCGTGAAAGCACATGCCGGAGCCATAAAGGTGGCAACAAGAAAATCAGACGTCTTCAAGATAAAACAAAGGAACGACGAGATGTTAAGGGAGTTCGTGTCTAAGTTCCAGATGGAGCGAATGGAGTTACCACCGGTCTCGGATGACTGGGCAGTACAAGCTTTTATGCAGGGTTTGAATGAAAGGAGTTCGATTGTTTCTCGACAACTAAAGCAGAATCTGATCGAGTATCCAGCTGTGACGTGGTCGGACGTACATAACCGTTACCAATCAAAGATTAGGGTCGAGGACGACCAGTTGGGAGCCCCTCGGGTTTAGTTATCCAAACTGGTCGGCAGCTAAGCCCCCGAAGGATACAGATAGGGAATCAAGGTCAAACAAAGAACGGTATTAGCCGCATGTTGATTGGAGAAACAATGGTTCGGGCCGTAATGCTCCTCGGAACGATCAGAGAAACGATCGAGGTCAATGCCCTCGGGGACTCATGAGTAAGAGGGGGTTCGATAAATACACCGATCCCGCGGAGGCACCTCGATTGTCAGAGTATAATTTCAGTGTAGACGCATCAGGGATCATGTCAGCTATTGGAAGAATCAAAGATACCAGATGGCCCAGGCCTATCCAAACCGATCCTTCTCAAAGGAATCCAAATTTGATCTGTAAGTATCATGGAACACATGACCATAAAACCGAAGACTGCAGGCAGCTAAGGGAGAAGGTAGCTCGGCTGTTCAACGAGGGTCACCTTCAATAATTTCTCAGTGATCGAGCTAAAAACCACCTCAGGGAGAGAGATGCAAGAAAAAATGAGCAGGAAGAACCACAACATGTAATCCACATGATTGTTAGCGGTGTCGACATCCCACAAGGACCTATGTTCAAATGCACCAAGGTATCAATCACTAGAGAAAAACGGACTCGGAGCTATGTGCCCGAGGACGTCCTATAATTCTGTGACGAGGAAGCAGAAGGCGTATCCCAACCGCACAACGACGCCCTAGTAATTTCTATTCTTTTAAATAAAATTCAAGTTAAGCGTGTTCTAGTGGATCCAAGTAGCTTAGCAAACATAATCAGATCGAGGGTCGTAGAACAAATCGGCCTACAAGATCAGATTGTACCTGCGTCCCGGGTCCTAAATGGCTTCAATATGGCAAGTGAAACAACAAAGGTGGAGATAATCCTACCAGTGAACGTAGCTGGAACCATACACGACAAGAAATTCCATGTCATCGAAGGCGACATGAGGTATAATGCACTCCTCGGGAGACAATGGATACACAACATGAGGGCAGTGCCTTCAACTCTTCACCAGATGATGAAGTTCCCAACAGAGGAGGGAGTGGAAACAGTCTATGGAGAGCAACATGCTGCAAAGGAGTTGTTTGGAGCCGAGGAAGTGGCACTGATACCAGAGCCTTCGACCTCGGAGAAATCGAGCACCAAAGGTAAGCAGGCAGCTAAATAGCAATCACCGCCCCCAGCCTCGACGGAATCGGAACAACAAGTAATCGAAGATGAAGAAGAGGACTTCCTTACTCCTCGAACCTTCGTCATTCCCGAAGAGTCCGATGCAACCAAATCAACTGTCGAAGAAGTGGAGCAGGTCATACTGATCGAATACATGCCCGAGAGAAAGGTATACCTGAGAACGGGATTAGCCCCCAAACTCAGGAAAAAACTCATTCAATTTCTTATTGATAATATGGATTGCTTTGCTTGGTCCCAATTAGATATGACAGGGATTCCACCAGAAATCACCACACACTGGCTAAGCATCGACCCCAGGTTCAAACCGGTAAAGCAAAAAGGAGGCCCCAGTCCGAGAAACATGCGTTCACAAAGGACGAGGTAACCAAATTTCTTAAAATAGGGTATATTCGGGAGGTAAAGTACCCCTAATGGTTAGGTAGTGTAGTTGTAGTTCCTAAAAAAGGAAACAAACGTAGAATGTGTGTAGACTATAAGGACTTGAACAAAGCATGCCCAAAGGACTCTTTCCCACTGCCCAACATCGATCGTATGATCGATGCCACGGCCGGCCACGAGATCCTAACTTTTCTCGACGCCTACTCTGGGTACAATCAAATTCAGATGAACCCGAAGGACCAGGAAAAGACTTCGTTTATTACTAAATTTGGAACTTATTGTTACAACGTAATGCCCTTCGAGCTAAAAAATGCGGGAGCTACATATCAACTACTAGTCAACAAAATTTTCGAAGAACAAATAGGTAAAACAATGGAAGTTTACATTGATGATATGTTGGTTAAGTCCTTGCGTGCAGAGGACCATTTGACTCATTTGCAGGAAACATTCAAAATTTTGAGAAAGTACAACATGAAGCTTAACCCGGAGAAATGTGCTTTCAGAGTTGGATCGAGTAAGTTCCTCGGCTTTATGGTGTCAAATCGGGGTATCAAAATCAACCCCGATAAGATCAAGGCCATCGAGGACATCACGATCATGGATAGTTTGAAGGCCGTGCAAAGGCTAACGGGACAAATAGCTGCCCCGGGTCGATTCATTTTGAGGTCATCAGATCGAAGTCACCGGTTCTTTTCCTTGCTTAGAAAGAAGAAAGATTTCGTGTGGACCCCGGAATGTCAGCAAGCCTTAGAAGAATTGAAGCAATATCTATTGAGTCCGCCTTTGTTTCACACCCCGAAGGTAGATGAAAAACTTTATCTATACTTGGTAAGGTTCGCAATTCCCTGTTTATTATGTGAGCCGAACTTTAGGAGATGTTGAAACTAGATACTCTCACTTAGAAAAATTAGCACTTGCATTGATAAGTGCATCTAGGAAGCTAAAACCATATTTTCAGTGTCATCCCATATGTGTATTAACAACTTACCCCCTTCGAAATGTTTTGCATAAGCCCGAGCTATCGGGCCGGTTGGCCAAATGGGCCGTCGAACTTAGCGGGTATGATATCGAGTATCAACCCCGAACAGCCATCAAGTCGCAAATCTTAGCTGACTTTATGGCCAATTTTACGCCGACCCTCGTATCCGAAG